AGAGCTGGAAAAGGATGTAGAACAAAATTATAACTCACAAAAAAAAAGCAGATTTACTGGCCTGACAGACTGGAGAAATCCCAATAGAATGGCCCCCGGACACCCGTTTACCTCAGTGGTGAAGTCACTCCTGAAGTTCACCGTTCAGCCAGGGATTGGACAGCCTCATAAAACAAAATGGGACTAATGAGGCACAGCAGTGCAGGGACAAGGACTAGAAGGCAGAGGGGACAGGAAAGCTGGTGATAGGGAACCCAAGGTTGAGAAGGGACAGGGTTGACATGTCATGGGGTTGTTAACCATTGTCATAGGGCAATATGTGTACTAACTGTTTAACGAGAAACTATTTGTTCTGCAGACATTCATCTAAGGCAGAAGAAACAAAAAGAATTACCTATGTGAGATCAAATTGACAACAGCAACTCAAAAGGTTTGATGGGAAGTCTAGGGGGCAGTGAGTTGAAGATAATAGTGACGGAATACTTTGGAAAAGGATAGTGAGAATAGCAGCACAATGGGAAGAATGTAATCGATGTCACTGAATTGTACCTGTAGAAATTTTTGAAATGGTGTAACTTTGGCTATGTATATTTTCACCAAAAAAAAAAAAAGATCCTCCAAGGTCAAGAAGGGAGAGTGTTGACATGTCATGGGGTTGTTAACCAATGTCATAAAACAACATGTGTACTGACTGTTTAATGAGAAACTATTTGTTGTGTAAACCTTCATCTAAAGTACAATTAAAACAAATGAAAAGAAAAAAATATTCACAAGAACAAGATACTTCATTTATCCATAAGATTTGCAAAAGTTCAAAAAGTTGTTAATATCCAATGTTACTCCAAAGCTAGAGACCCTCCAACAGCTTTGTGTCTCTTAAGAAAAGTAAAGAAAAGAAAAAATGCCATTTGAGGCCCTATAGGGGTCTACCAGGTCCTACATGGTAGGCTCTGACCTCTTTCCCCTTCTCCTCCATCCTTCTGCTCTGGGCAGCCAACTCCTTGATGATCCAGACACATGCTACACATGCTCTAGGGCTGTTGCACTTCCTGTTTTCCCTGCCTGGAAGCTATTCCTTGCATTGCTCACCCCTACAGCTTTCATTCCTCTGCTCACAATCAGTTCACCAAGAGAAGACCTGCTGATTCAAGCCCTGGGCTGCAGGCGCTCTGCAGCTCCCTCTGCAGGTACTCACACAGAAACGTGCAGATGTGACAATTCAGCAAGGTCTCATGCTGAGATGTGTGTATTTCCCTACTTGGAAACTATAACTCAATAAAAAAGAAAAAAGAGCAAACAGACACATACTTAAATAAATACTAACACAAGTCACTCTGTGTCACGTTATCCAGACTTTGTTATGTTTTTAAACCCCATATCACTCTCTGGTGTGTTTTGTATTTGTGTTTACTTGTCCTTCTGCCTTCTTGCACTAGAATATAGCTGCACGAGAGCAGGGACTTTATGTGTTTTTTTGACTGTCTTCTCCCCATCATCTGGCACATAATAGCTGTTTAATAAATATGTTTTAAACAAGTGAATAAGTGAAAAATTCAGTGCAGTTGAGGATGTGGGGATGAAGGACTCTCGTGCCCCGCTAGTGGGAATGTCAACTGTTTAACCCTTTTGGAGGCCACTGTGAGAAACTCTATCTATATCTTGGGTGTGCATATCTGTCCCCTAACTCCACTTCCAGGCATATACCCCATAGGCCTACTCACACACGTGTACAAAGACCCAAGTATACAAGTTTACAGGTAACTCATGTCATCAAATGTTAAGCATGTAAGCAACTGCAATTCCCAGGTATTATTGGTGGGAATGTAAAATGCTACAGTCAACTTGAAAAAAGACCTGGCAATGGTTTTTGTTTTGTTTTTTTAATAAAACTAAACATGTAATCTTTGACTGAGCAATTCCACTCCTAAGTCTTTAACCAAGAAAAAACATATCACATGCCAACACAAAAGACTTGTCCAACAACACTCATAGAGGCTTTACTCACAATAGCCAAAACTGGAAAAAACCCAGGTGTCCATCAAAAGGGGAATGGATAAACAAGTTGTAGTAAACCACACAACGGGACACTACTCAGCAGAAAAAAAGAAAGTGCTACTGATACATGCAAAATCATGATGAATCTCACAATAATTATGCTAAGTGAGAGAAGGCTAACACAAGAGAGGACAGGCCTTATGATCCCAGAAGGTAAAAACCATCTCATGGTGGAGAAAAGTCAGAACCATAGTTGAGGAAGTAGGGGCAGGGGCCTACTGTGAAGGGGCATGAGGGAACTTTCTGGGAGTGACGGTGATTTCCTACGAGCTGATAGGGATTTCTGATACACAGTTATATGTATTTATCAAAACTCAGCAAACATAGAATTAAGATATTGCTCTTCATTGTACATTTAACTTTCAGGGAAGGAACACTGTAAACACACATTGAATTCTAGCTGATTTGCACACGGACATATTTAGGAGAAAGTGTGCTGTGGTCTAAGTCCCTGGGTGGTGCAATTGTTAACACACTTGGCTACTAACTGAATGGTTGGAGAGTTGAGTCCATCCAGAGGCACTTGATCTTTTTTTCTAAGTAGATCGCCAGGCCTTAAGAAAGGTCATCATGAATTGGCATTAATGGGAGGACGACTGGTTTGGTTCTGATATCTGGCTAATCCTCGGTTTGCCTCCCAGTGAGGATGGGGCACGGAGCACCCCTTACTGGCTGTGCTTAGATGAAGCTCCCAGCACACAGACTGGGACACCTAAGTGTCATTGGCCTCACGTCCCTGCAGAGGAAGCTGCCTGGTGACTTCGGACAGAGGGGCTGCTGTTTGAGCAAGGGCCTACCTGGGGCTGTGGAGATCCCACCATGTCCACCTACAGCAGAGCCGCTCTGCCTACTCCCTCCTTGGTAAGCCAGCACCTGGCCCAGAAAACACGGGCATGAAGGAGCCTCACACCCACTCCGAGGGCCCTTCCTAGTTCTCCCTTTTGCTCATCCACCACCCGCGAACTTACTTTTTGATGGCGAACACAGTCAGCCACACGGTGGTGTTTCTGAACTGCATGTCCAGAATGGCACAGTCAAAGGTCCCGTGCCAGATGATGGGGGCAAACCAGGGAGTTGTGACCAGCACGACTATCTGCCTTTGGGGACGAAGCAGAGCGCACTAGAGCAGGCGGGGAGAAAGGTTTGTACCTAGGGACTCAGCGGTCAGTAGTTGGCTTAGAGTAGACATGGGACTCCAGGCTCCCAGCTCAGCACTCTTTCCACTACCAGCTCAGAGGCTGAGACCCAAAAGAACTGATGACTCATCTCACCCCTCCCGCTTCTCTGGCTCGGGCTCAGAAAGCTTGGTGCCCTACCGTGGCGCGTCCCTGAGAAACAGCCCTGTGCTGGATCCCACGGTCTGTCAGGCAGGCCTGGGCTTCCCTCCCCACCAGCCTCTCACAAGCTGTAGGACCTTAGGTAGGTTCCTTCACCTCTCTGAGCCTCAGTTTCCCCACCTGTGAAATGAGGAATGATCAGGTGGTTATTAAGCACCCTTCCCACACTGAAGCTCTAGGGTATGGTGAGGCTAAGGGGAGACCTAGGCACAGAGAGCTTGGCTTCTCTGAGCTCTGCTTCACATGGTTTTCTGGGTACCATGGCAACGGGCTTCTGGAGAAGTGATATTAGAGATTAATGCCTAGAACGCAGAGAAAACTACAAAGCATATAACTATCTGGCTGAGGTCTAAGAGCAGGACCGGGAGGGGTCGGGGGCTCTTGTCGGGGGGAGGGTCAGGAAGGCCTAGTGGAAAGGGAGGACCAAGGCCCCTTCGCCCCTTCCTGTCCTGGGGGTCTCTGTGTGTCCGGCCTCCTCAAGCTTCCTCATGGTCCTCCTGACCAGCCCGACCAGAGACTCCACTGAGTCAGGGATGACTTCCTTGAGTCCTTCTGAGACCCAAGGGCCCCATCTGCTGCTGAGAGGAGGGAGGAGAGAAGGTGATGAGAGCATGAAGTTGTCAATAATTTAAAAAATAAAAATATATAACCCTGTCATAAAAAATGCACAGCCCAGGTGAGAGTAGAGACAACTTCCGTGTATGACTCCCGACACCAATTCTCATGAAATAAAGTATGAAATGCGGCAGCCACCGACGTCAAGTGCCCATCACCACCGCCTCCCACACCAAGTAGGATGATGTTAGCAAGCTGAGGGGCAATAGTGTCAGGAAGGAAGGAAAGGAGGACCAAGAGATCACACACTGGGTGGGGGAGGGAGGAAGTCACTGTTGTGCAAGGTGCCCAGATCAATGCCAAGGAAGGCAAGGTGTGGAGATAGGAATGGAGGGGGTGGGGCTTTCAGACAAAGGCTCTCCTAAAACAGAATGCTCACTGTCCCTGTCACTGGGGAGTGGAGTAGCCCAACCTGCCCCCTAAGAGCTGGAGGAGCCATTAGGCCCCGGAGTCCCCTCCTCACTCCCACCCATGTATCAGGCCCCTCTTCTACCCCGGAGGACTTTGGGAAGGTGATGGCAGAGACTCTTGAGGAGGGGGATGCATACCTCTTGCACAACAGCTTGCGGAAGAAAATGTCCAGCTCTAGGGATGGAAAGAAGGCAGAGGTTTCAGTGTGGAGGGAGTTCAGAGCCTTTTCCCCTCACGTGAGCAGCCCCAGAGCAGCCACCAGCCCCACCTGCTCAGGGCTGTACCTTGCCCAGTCCCCAGCTGCCCAGGCCCCCAGTCCACAAACCTGAGGTGAGGGGAAGGTCACCTCTGGTGGTTTTCTTGGAAGGATGGAGAGGAAGAGAAGGTAGAAGCTGACTTTGACTTGGGGAGGGCCTGACAGGGAACTCCACCACCCTGGACTGAGTGTTCCAGCTCTGAGCCACCCTCCTGGGAAACCCCATAGATCTTGTCTCCACTGTCTCCATGGAGCGAGGAAGTAAGAAGGCCAGAGCACACCTGGAGCCTTTCCACTGTTTTACTCAAAGCTTTCCCAGTCTCTGCTGGCCTTGGGGTCTCTGCCAAATGCAAGCAATGGTGGCTGATGCCCTTGCTATAGCAAGCTTTGAATAAATAGCTTCTGTTTGTTCTCATTTGGATAGTCTTTGCATATTTCTACAGACCCATCTCCCCTCCCCCACAGACAAGTTAGAAAAGATAGAGAAGGGAAGGGAGTGAAGAAGTTCCCCAGAGGAAACACACCTGTCCAGTCAGAGCAGTTTAGCCCGGGTGGAGGTAAATTGGCTGGTTGGCAGCAAGGGCTGGCCAGCCTCTGCTGTATGCTCCCGGGTGAGTTCTGGCAGCCCTTGAAGCTTAAGTTCCTTGGTTGTTTTGGAGGCAATGATGTTGAAGGCCATGGAGGTTCCAGGTATCCTCTTCGGTTGAACCCCATTGAGAGACTGCCCAGGGAGTTTGCAAGTCTCCGCCCTCCACTATATGAAGTCCTCTTGGCCTCACTTGCCAGCCATGCACAGCATGGGGACTGGGAGCTGATCTTCATTCTCAGGTGAAGTTTAGGGTATACAGCTTGGCCTCTGGAGGTTTCAGCATCAGTCCTTACATTCAAGTTCATTCAGGTTCCTTCTGGCACAGCTGAAGACAGATTTCTTCTTATAGTCTTGAAGAACCTTCCAGTGGCCCCTTGAGGGTTCTGGGTCATTCCAAAAGGAGAGGTTAGGGTCAAACCATAGGGAAAGTTCTGCTGGTCACACACCTGTCAAGGTGGCCAGCATGCATGCAGTTTCTACTGGATACATCCTGGGGGAAACTTGCTCTGCTTGGGGCTCCCACCACCAGTGTGGTGATGTGGTGGGCTGAGGAGGATGCCATAGAGACATGCTGGACTTCTGGGCTTCTGGGATGCTGTACCTTATAGATACTCCGCGTGGGCTGCACTGGGGCCAAATTGGATTCCTGGTGCAGGAAAAGCAGGGCTGGGGAGTCTGAGGCAGAGAAGCCCTGGAGGTCCTAGACTCTCTCACAGTTAGCTTGTATTTGCTATTCTAGATTGAGGTCTGGCCAAAGCTGGCCTCCAAATAAGGGCATTCTTGCTTTGATTTGTGCTGGTTGAGAACTCTTGCTGTGCACAGCGCTGGTCTCCTCCTCCTCTGGGTGAGATAGGGAGCTAGCAGTTTGAGCTCTGGTCCATCAGTGAGGCCCAGATATTTCCCGTGTGTAACCCATGGACACCATCGACTCAGGTTGCCAGAATTTTTGCAGTCAGTGAGTAGCTCCATGTAAGGCTTTCGTTCATAGTCTTTATGGCCCACATTCATCCATGGAGCTTTCACGATTTGCTGTGAAGTACTTTTGTTACTGGGAGTAAGGATGAGACATTTCTTGAGCAGATTTTCACACTCCGCGAACATACAGAAGGGAACATGATATTTTCCATTCAGCACCTGCTCCTGCAGCTACCTGAAGTTCTGTCCATCAAAAGACAGGCAACTTCTGACAAGTGTATATACAGTGACTCCCATGCTCCACATTGTACTTTTGGCCCTGGAAGAGTTCTGGGATAGAATGATGGGGACTGCTACAAAAGGTATCCAGCTTTTTTGCCAAAGGTGAATTCCTTGAAGACAACATCTGCAATCTTGATGTCATAACAGCATCCAAGAGCAGGTTGTCTGCTTTTAACTCTTTATGCTCACTAAACTTCTGGTGACAGTACTGCACAGCAGACACTGGCAGAAGTTAGCTTGGGACACTTTTTCTTTCACATTTCCGTGAGTCACTAGGTAATCAAGCACTCTCCTCCATTAGCGTACTCCATAAAAAGTAGAGTTTCCTCAGTCTTGATCTCTTCAAATAAATATGTTAGGATGATTCAATGTCTTCATTATTCTTGCTTCATGGGAGAGTTTCAAAGACAGGAGGAGTTCTGTTTAGTCTTGCCAATGATCTTGACCCTGATGCTCAGCCAAGCTTGGATCAGGCTGGTCTGTGCTACAGCCTCTAACCTCAGGGCCCCTACCAATGAGTAAATTTTAATGATAGTAAACGAAAGTTTTGACGTGAACGTTGATACTGGGTCATGCTTGAATTCTGACTGATCCTACCCTCTATCCCCAGATTCCCTACAAAGGAACATGCCGGGGCAGATTCTGACCCTGTGCCAAGCTTAGATTATGTCCAGCATGAGCTATAGCCACTAGCCTCAGAGCTACTTCCAAATACTGAAACAACAGATAAGATAGGAGGTTGGAATGATTCATAAGAGAACAGGAACAACAATGGGAAAAAGGAAGAGAAAGGAATTCCTCCCAGCAGGGTGGAGATCTTTAACCAGTCATTAAGAAATGGGAGGAATAAAATGAGTATCGATGGGATCAAACAAGTTTTCCTTAGTGGTTGTTCCTCAGTATTGAAGGACTCTAAGCAAATCTGGTTTATTCTCCTTAGTGAGGAGGGATTTAGAAAGGTGCAGGACAAATATGACAATGAGAAACCTGACTTCCTATTGCCTGGGGTGATAGTCCCGAATCTTATTTTGTGAATTCCTATCACTAGCTTCTTGAGGAACCATATTAAAATAGGTTGTGAGAGTGGCTACGTTAGGATCAGTCTCACTGGTTTAGAATACAGGTGGTCCCTGACTTAGGATTTGAGTGATGATGAACTGCACTTACGACCGTCCTTTTTTTTTTGTACATCTTATTGTTAGTAATATGTAGGACATACAGTATTGTAGCATGTTATGCGCTGATGTCATTCTCAGATGTTCACTTGCAGATGTTCAATGTTATGATTTACTGATCAAAACACTGCCATATAGCAGGCTGTGACCTGGTCTACAATGAAATCTGTGTCGGTGTGGGCGTAGGGAGTTGTAACGGATAGAATGTTGGGCAATGTTCAACTCCAGTGAATTACACTAGAGGGTCATAAGGGCGCTGACTTCGTTGTTTTGACACTGATGCTGACAAAGATCGTGTTATAAAGACACTGATAATAAAAGGCAATAATAATGAAAACTTTAGAAAAAAGGTGTTCTACCTACGTCAGAAACGACTTATAATGGAGTCTTCAGAATTTAACTTTGTCTTAAGTTGTGAAGCACCTGTATTGTGAAATGGAGGACAATGTTTTGGTTGACACAGGACTCGCAGCTCACTCTTGAACAATCAGAAAAAAATCAGAAACCAAACTGGTTGCTGTTGAGTTGATTCAGATTCAAAAAACAATCCTGCTGCCTTCGAGTCGATGCCGACTCACAGCAACCCTATAATACAGAGTAGAACTGCCCCATAGAGTTTCCAAGGAGCACCTGGTGGATTCACACTGCCGACCTTTTGGTTAGCAGCCATAGCTCTTAACCGGTATGCAATCAGAGTTTCCAATTCTAACTCAGAGCGACCTATAGGACAGTGTAGAACTGCCCCACAGAGTTTTCAAGGAGCACCTGGTGGATTCACACTGCCGACCTTTTGGTTAGCAGCCATAGCTCTTAACCGGTATGCAATCAGAGTTTCCAATTCTAACTCAGAGCGACCTATAGGACAGTGTAGAACTGCCCCATAGAGTTTCCAAGGAGAGGCTGGTGGATTCAAACTGCCAACCTTTTCGTGAGCAGCTGAGCACTTAACCACTGTGCCACCAGGGCTCCTGAACAATCACAGACGGTGATAAAGAACGCAAACACACAGTACCCTGATCCCAAGGGGGAAGCAAGCCTAAGAGATGGGATAAAGGGCACACTAAACTTTGTTTAAGAAGCCCCGGTGGCTCCTGGTTAAACGTTCGGCTGCTAACTGAAAGGCTGGTGGATCAAACGCATCCACAGGCTGGTGTAGGGGGAAGACCTGGCGATCTGCTCCCTTAAAGATTACTGTTGTTGTTGTTTGGTGCCATCGAGTCGGTTCCAACTCATACTGACCTCACGTGTAACAGAACGAAACAGTGCCCGGTCCTGTGCCATCCTCACAATAGTTGCTATGTTTGAGCCCATTGTTGCATCCACTGTGTCAATCCACCTCGCTGAGGGTCTTTCTCTTTTTTGCTGACCTTCTACTTTACAAAGCATGATATCTTTCTCCAGCAACTGGTCCCTCCTGATAACATGTCCAAAGTACATGAGGCCAAGTCTTGCCAACTTAGCTTCTAAAGAGCATTCTGGCTGTCCCTCTTCCAAGGCAGATTTGTTTGTTCTTTTGGCAATCCATGATATATTTAATATTCTTCACCAACACCGTTAATTCAAAAGCATCAATTCTTTGGTCTTCCTTAACGATTGTCCAGCTTTCGCATGCATATGAGGCGATTGAAAATACCATGGCTTTTGTCAGGTGCACTTTAGTCTGCAAAGTGACGTCTTTGTTTACAGTCTAGGAAGCCCGAAGAGCTCAGCTAGTAACCAAAAGATAGCCAGTTTCGGTCCGCCAGCCACTACTTGGAAACCCTATGGGATCGTTCTACACTATTCAACAGGGTCACTATGAACCGGAATCAAGCCGAAGGCATAGTTTTTTTGTTTTTTTTTTTTTAAATGCCCTATAGGTTCGCAGTGAGTCGGAACAGACCCCAGGGCACACAAAAACAACCACCACGTGGTAAGAGAACATCTCACCTTCCAATATACGTGACATACACACTCTGCTTTTAGTTAAATTATTTGAAACATTAACAAAAGCAGCACTGGTCCTCAGGACCCCAGAGACTGAAATGGATCCAAAGGAGGAGAATCGAGTTCTGTTGGAAGGAAAGAAGGCTGGCAGCCCAGGTGGAGAGATGGAGGGGGGGAATCTCAGGCCCAACCTCCCCCACTCCATTCTCTGCTCCTTGTCATCTGAGGCCCCGCCCTGCCCGCTGGACAACCCCGCCCCCCGCACAGCCCCGCCCCGTGCACAGCCCCGCCCCCTGCGCCGTTTCCCCTGGAAACGGAGAAGCGCGCTCCAAGGGACGAACTCACGAGGGTGAGTGGGTGTCGTCTTTCTAGTTCAAACCCGCGCTTCGCGTCCCCTTCACCTCCGTGTCGTCCCCCCTCAGGGTCCCGGGGCCCTTGCGGACGTTCACGTCCCCGCACCCGCCCCGCCAGCATCCCAGATCGGTGTCCGTTTCCGATTAAAGCAGCTCCGAGCGGGTCCTTCCGGCCTTCCCGCCTGCGGCCTTGGGACCCGCGCGCCCCCTTTCCTGTCGGAGCCCTCCACCGACCACTCCCCACCTCGCCCCCCGGAAGGCCCCGCGGGGGCTTGTCTTCTCCGTCCCCCGCCCTGTCCCCTGGGCTCTCAGGGAGGCGCCGGCCGCGCTCCGTGGCCCCAGGACGCGAGTCAGAAAGTGTGGTTCATTCGGTCATTTTCAGTCAGATAATCTGTTTCTTCCTTTCTTTCCTGAAGCTTATCATTTCTTTGAAGTTATATTGTTATTTACTTAATTCTTACTATGAAATTTGGGTTTCCTTTTTCCCTCTCTAAGTTTACAGATTGAACAACCGGTTTATTTATTACCCACCCCCCGTTTTTTTCGAAGGTCCTTGGGTGGCCCAAACGGTGTGTGCAGGTGTAGTAACCTATAGTGGTTACGAGCTGTGGCTGCTAACCCAAATGTTGGCAGTTCGAGTCCACCAGGCGCTGTTTGGAAACCCGATGGGGCAGTTCTACTCTGTCGTGTAGGGTCACTATGAGTCGGAATCGACTCGATGGCAACAGTTTTTTGTATGTTTTGTTGGTTTTTACTAACCTAGAAAAAGATTGTTTAAATCCACCCATTGGCACTGCGGAAGAGAAGCCTGTGCTTTTCTAAAGATTATAGCCAAGAAAACCCTATGGAGTAGTTCTGTGGTGTAATACATGGAGTTGTCAGGAGTCCAGTCAACGTAGGGCAATAGGGTTTTTTTTCTTTCTTTCTTTCTTCGTTTTTTAATATTATGTCTGTAAAGATACGTTGCTTTGACCACATTCCCTGGTTTTGAGTAGTTCGATTGTTCATGGTGACAGTGACTCTAAATTGGTCCTTTACCAATTGTCACATAGGTTATGAAAACTTTTCCTGTAATCAGATTCTAAGTATATAAACTATCTTTTTGCTTTTTGATTTGTTTAGTTTTGCTTCCATTATCTGATTTTTGTTTACTTTCATTTTGATGTCACTGTGCAAGAACTGTGGCCTACCTAATATCTCTCTTATTTTATTTTATTTTTTTGAGATTGTTTTACAGCTCTATTCCTAATTTAAGACAACACAATATTCACTAGTAGGAGAATTTTTAAATACAGTAAGATTTGGAATTAGCTGACATTTTCTTTATGACTCAATACATGATCATGTTTGATGAATGTTCAGTGTATCCAGGTGTCTTTGATGAAGTTTTAATTTGTATTCACTAATTTGTTGTTGTTAGGTGCCCTGGAGTCGATTCTGACTGGTAGTGATACCATGTGACAGGGTAGAACTGCGCCATAGGGTTTTCTAGGCTGTAATCTTTATGGGAGCAGAGTACCAGGTCTTGGGTTCAAACCACCAACCTTTTCTTTAACAGCTGAGGATTTAACCCTGCGCCACCAGGGTTCCTTATTGCACCACCAGGGCTCCTTATTGCACCACCAGGGCTCCTTATTCACTAATTTTCATATACTAAATCCTCAGCATGCTTCCATTTTATTGCATTATAGACATGGTGATTTGAATGGGAATTGTTTTTAATTTTTCCCTTCAAGCTTCATGATTAATCAATTTTTCTTTGAATTTGAATGTTTCCAACATACATTTTTATGTACATACATAGACATGAATATCCTGTCTTGATGTTTAATTTTCCCTTTTATTAGTTGCCATCAAGTTAATTCTGTCTTATGGCAAACCATGTGATACAGAGTAGAACTGCCCCTTAGGGTTTCTAAGGAGCACCTGGTGGATTCAAACTGCTGACCTTTTGGTTAGGAGGTGAACTCTTAACCACTACGCTTTTAAATTAGTCAATAGTTGCTAAGCTCAGGAAGTAAAGTGTGCTCCTTCCTTTGTACCCTATTAAAGGCTGAGGTCAGGTCTATTCATGCTGTCTGTGATTCTCCCATTCTTCAGGACTCCTGTGAATCTGTGTTTGGCCTTCAAGTATGCTTACCTTTAGGCCCTGTGAATGACAGTCATCTCTTTGTTTTGGGTGTTGAATGTTAAACTGCAGCTTTGTTTAACAAAAGAACCCCCCACCTAATTTCCACACAGGTTGTCCCTCCAGCTGACCCCTCTGGGTGGCTGTGTGTTTCTTCCTGAAGTGGGCTCTCATTTACCTCTTTATATTTGTCTTATATTAACACAAGCCCCAGCTCTCTAATCACATGGTAAGTCTTTCTGGCATGACCAGCTTCCACTCTGTGTCACCTCTCTAAACTATCAGGTGAGGACCCAGGGGCCCAGCACGAATCACAAAGGCAGTCCTATCACTCTGGAAATTCCAGTGCTTTAGAGGTTACCTTCCAGGAGCCAGGACAAAGGCCAGAACTCTCTTTGGGATTGTTGTTAGATGCCATTGAGTCCATTCTGAGGCATGGTGACCCCATGCGTGCAGAGTAGAACTCCATAGGGTTTTCAAGGCTGTGACCTTTCGTAAGCAGATCACCAGGCCTGTCTCCTGTGGCGCCTCTGGATGCGTTCGAACTGACAACCCTTTGGCTAGTAGTTGAGCATTTAACGGTTTGTGCCACCCAGCTGTCACAGAGCTCTCTTTAGGTGAGACCTAACTCTTTACTACAGAAGTAGAATTTAAATATGTCCATCATACTAAAATACTGAAAAACATGAACAGAAAATGATAATGAAAATCCAGCCAGAAAATTCATCATTTAAAGACAACTGTTCTCAGTTTGGTTAACTATACGGTTGGTGTGTGTGCACCGTAGGTTTCTATAAAAGCCATTTTATCATTTCATGAATTAGTTTTACATATTTTTCCCATGGCCTTAAATATTTTTACACTATCATATTAATAAGGGACCCTGGTGGTGGGATGGTTAAGAGCTCAGCTGCTAACCGAAAAGTTGGCGGTTTAACCCACCTAGCTGCTCTGTGGGAGAAAGACCTGGCAGTCTGCTTCCCTAAGGATTACAGCATAGAAAACCTTATGGGGCAGTTCTACTCTGTCATATGAGGTCGCTAGGAGTCAGAATCAACTTGACACACCTAACAACAACAACATCATCGTGTTACTAGTAAAAAAGTAAATATGTATATGCATATATGTGTACCTAAGTAATGACCTTTTAACTAATTCTTTGTTGTTGGTTTTGACTTGTTTCAAGTTTTCTCGGTTAGGAAACCCTGAGCCAATGTCCTTTCAGTGGTGTCTATTTTACTTGCCTTTTTGATTCTTTGGGTACAGTTCTAGAACCCATCCACCTACATTCTGCCATTTATTAAGATGTTTGACCCAAGGCAAGTTAGAGTCTGTAACATAGTTTTCTTTCTTTCTCAAGTGAGAACAGATCCTTTCTGTTATGATCACAAGGTTCTTTAAAGCCTCTTGTTGACTCTGTGTCATCCATAATGGGATGGATTGGTTCTCAGTTTCATCTGAAAAATTATACGTTCCTTGGTGGATAGAACATAATATTTTTCACTTGTTTAAAGAAAACCACTCGTTGAATTGTTTTTTAATTTGTGTGTTTCTTTTGTCATCCACAAAAATATAAAACCCGCAGTGGCTCTCATATCTTCAGTACCCCTTAAGCAATAACTCCCCATTCTCCTCGCCTGAGTCGCTGGTAGTAACTAATAAACTTTAGTTTCTATGCTTTAATCATAGATTAAAATTAGGGATGTATAACTTGCTGAAAAGTATCTTATATGGACCCAGCCATAGCCTTACCACAATCAAAACTGAGTCATATGCCTCTTGCCTCCCCTCATATTGTTGAAAATAAGAACAATCCTCCCCCCACCCCCACCACACTGTAGACCCTTGGAGAAATGTGTGTTTCATGTTAGCTACCTTTGATATACAAGGATTTGTCCCCAGAAGGAGTGGGTGTGCTTGTGTCCTGCTGAGCGGGCTTTGTAAAGGGGCAGAATGTTGATGAACTACAGGAACCTGGTCTGCCTGGGTGAGGTGGAAGTCAGGACCTGCCCTTGGATGGCTTTACATTTTCCATTGTGAGTCTCTTGAGAGCCCCTGCCTTTCTAGACTGAGTTTTCCTTCCCTTCTTTATGGGAATGATTGAGGCTTTGTTGATTCAGAACTGAAGAGCTTCATGGTGTGGCATCTAGCCTTTGACCTTCCTCTTTCTTCAGATGATCTGCCCTGAGTTGATGGTGGTTCCAGAACATGATTGTTCATAAAACCTGTGGCCAGCATTTCAAACATTCAGTGTCCTGGTTACCCCCTTGTGCTTTTGATTTAGTAGTTCATGGAAGAGTGCTTAGAGGTCTGCACCTTTAAAATGATCCCTAAGCATTTAGAAGGAAGAGGGCAGTGGTTCCTTTAAACAAACAACAAAAATATTTTGGTAAAATATATATAATAAAATTTTGCCATTTTCACCATTTTTAAGTGTACAGTTCAGCGACATTAAATACATTAACAATATGCAGCCATCTCCACCATCTAATTCCAAAGCTTTTCATCATTTCAAACAGAAACTCAGCACCCCTTAAGCAATAACTCCCAATTCCCTCCTCCCTGAGTCCCTGGTAGCCACTAGCAGACTTCAGTCTCTATGCTTTTGCCTCTTCTACCTATTTCATGTAAGTTGTATCGTATAATATTTGTCCGGTTGTGTCTCACTGATTTCACTTAGCATAATGTTTTCAGGGTTCATCCATTGTGAAGCATGAACGAAATTTCTCTTTCATGTTATGTGTTTTTTTATCCATTCATGTGTTGATGGACACTTGAGTTGTCACCACATTTTGGCTATTGTGAACAATGTTGTAGTGAACATTGGTATACAAATGTCTTTTTGAATCCCTGCTTTCACATCCTTTGATTGGGTTCAGACTGCCAATTTAGGAGTGGAATGTCTGGATCATGTGGTAATTCAGTGTTTAACTTTTTGACAAACTACCAAACTGGTTTCCACAGTGGTTGTGCTATTTTACTTTCTCAGCCACAATGCGTGAGGGTTCCAGTTTATCTACATCCTCACCAACACTTGTTCTTTTCCAGTTTCTGAAGTAGCCATCCTAGTGGGTGTAAAGTGATATCTCATGTGGTTTTGATTTTCATTTGCCTAGTACCTAGGTGACCCT